ATATTTAGGAATATATCTACCTAAAGAAACAAAAGACCTATATATAGAAAACTATAAAACACTGATGAAAGAAATCAAAGAGGACACAAACAGATGGAGAAATATACCTTGTTCATGGAATGGAAGAATCAATATAGTGAAAATGAATATACTACCCAAAGCAATCTATAGATTCAATGCAATCCCTATCAAGCTACCAATGGTATTTTTCACAGAACTAGAACAAATAATTTCACAATTTGTATGGAAATACAAAAAAACCTCAAATAGCAAAAGCAATCTTGAGAAAGAAGAATGGAATTGGAGGAATCAACCTGCCTTACTTCACGCTCTACTACAAAGCTACAGTCATCAAGACAGTATGGTACTGGCACAAAGAGAGAAATATAGATCAATGGAACAAAATAGAAAGCCCAGAGATAAATCCACGCACCATGGAACCTTATCTTCAATAAAGGAGGCAAGAATATACAATGGAGAAAAGACAATCTCTTTAACAAGTGGTGCTGGGAAAACTGGTCAACCACTTGTAAAAGAATGAAACTAGAACACTTTCTAACACCATACACAAAAATAAACTCAAAATGGATTAAAGATCTAAATGTAAGACCAGAAATTATAAACTCCCAGAGGAAAACATAGGCAAACACTCTGACATAAATCACAGCAGGATCCTCTATGATCCACCTCCCAGAATATTGGAAATAAAAGCAAGAATAAACAAATGGGACCTAATTAAACTTAAAAGCTTTTGCACAACAAAGGAAACTATAAGCAACATGAAAAGACAGCCTTCAGAATGGAAGAAAATAATAGCAAATGAAGCAATGGACAAAGAATTAATCTCAAAAATACACAAGGAACTCCTGCAGCTCAATTCCAGAAAAACAAATGACCCAATCAAAAAATGGGCCAAAGATCTAAACAGATATTTCTCCAAAGAAGACATACAGATGGCTAACAAACACATGAAAAGATGCTCAACATCACTCATTATCAGAGAAATGCAAATCAAAACCACAAGGTACCATCTCACACTGGTCAGAATGGCTGCTATCAAAAAGTCTACAAGCAATAAATGCTGGAGAGGGTGTGGAGAAAAGGGAACCCTCTTACACTGTTGGTGGAAATGCAAATTAGTACAGCCACGATGGAGAACAATGTGGGGATTCCTTAAAAAACTGAAAATAGAACTGCCATGTGACCCAGCAATCCCACTGCTGGGCATACACACCAAGGAAACCAAAACTGAAAGAGACATGTGTACCCCAGTGTTCATAGCAGCGCTGTTTATAATAGCCAGGACATAGTAGCAACCTAGATGTCCATCAGCAGACAAATGGATAAGAAAGCTGTGGTACATATACATAATGGAATATTACTCAGCCATTAAAAAGAATACATTTGAATCAGTTCTAATGAGGTGGATGAAACTGGAGCCTATTATACAAAGTGAAGTAAGCTAGAAAGAAAAACACCAATACAGTATACTAATGCATATATATGGAATTTAGAAAGATGGTAATGATAACCCTATATGTAAGAGAGCAAAAGAGACACAGATGTATAGAACAGTCTTTTGGACTCTGTGGGAGAGGGTGAGGGTGGGATGATTTGGGAGAATGGCATTGAAACACATATATTATCATAGGTGAAACGGATCACCAGTCCAGGTTTGATGCATGAGACAGGGTGCTCGGAGCTGGTGTACTGGATGACCCAGAGGGATGGGATGCGGAGAGAGGTGAGAGGGGGGTTGAGGATGGGGAACACATGTACAACCGTGGCAGATTCATGTCAATGTATGGCAAAACCACCACAATATTGTAAAGTAATTAGCCTCCAATTAAAATAAATAAATTTATATTAAAAAAAAAAACATTGACTAGACATAATGATATTAGTCCTCCTTACCTTCTTCCTAATTTTAATGAAAATGTTTCTGGAGTCTCTATTAGTATAATATTGGCAGTAGTGTTGCTTTTTGTAATTAATTTTTATAATATTAAGGAAATTCCCTTACATTCAATCTTAAGTAAATGTTTTAAAATCAATAAATATTGGCTTTCAAATTTGTTGAAATGATCATATGGCTTTATTCCTATAATCTAGTAATATGGTAAGTTATTATTGATATTATTTCAGATGTTGAACATACATTTCTGTGATGGGCTTTATTGGTTTGTGATTTAGCATGCTTGTTTTAATATCTTACTTAGTAATTCTACATTCATGTTAAGTGAAATTGGTGTTATAAGGCTTTTTGTCTTGTTCCTGTTCAGTTTTGGTACTGAGATTATCCTAGAATTATAAAAGAATTGAATTTCTTCTCCCAGTGTTCTATTCTCTGAAACAGTTTGTAGAATTGTTTGTTCTTTGAAGATTTGTTAAAATTCATCTGTAAAATTATCTTCAGTTTTCTAGCATCTTGGGTATATGGAGATAGGGTTAAGGAGAAAGAGACATTAATTGTTAATGGTTTCCTCAGATTTTCCACTCCTTTTTGAGTCAGATTGGGTAAATTTTATTTTTTTCCTAGAAAATCATCCATGTTTGTATTAGTTACTCAGTCATGTTCTACTCTTTGCAACTCCATGGACTGCAGCCCACCAGGCTCCTCTGTCTATGGAATTCTCCATGCAAGAATACTGGAGTGGGTTGCCATTTCCTCCTCCAGGGGATCTTCCTGACCCAGGGATTGACCTAGGGTCTCCTGCACTGCAGACAGATTCTTTACCATCCGAGCCACCAGAGAAGCCAAAATCATTTGTGTTTATGCCAAATTTACTGAGATAAAATTTTTGTAAGTTCTCATTATTAAAAAAAATAAAATATATAATTTTAACCACTTTTTCATTCCTAATATTGTGTTTTTTTTCTTTTTTTTTCTTCATCAGCCTTAGTTAGAAGTTAGTCTTTTTTTAGTTTTCAAAGAAGTAACTTCTAGCCTTGTTGATCTTCTAATGTTTCTTTGTTACCTATTACACTAATTTCAATTCTAATATATAATATTTTCTTTCCCTGCTTTAAGATACTATTATTCTTCTAGTTCCTCGAGTTGAAACTCTCACTCATTTATTTTCAATTTTTTAAAAACGAACATTTTGAGGCTCTAAAGTTCCCTATAATTACCTTTTAGGTGGCACCCCAAAATTGCTGAGATATTTTTGATATTACTTAATTATAAATATTTCATAATTTCATTGTAATTTCCTTTTAACATGTAAATCATTGGATATGTGCTCCAAAGTTTCTAAGCATGTATTTTGAACTATTTTTTGTTATTTATTTATATTCTCATTGTCTATAGTCATATGATGATTAATAAAATATGATTTCTTTTAAATGGTTTATTTGTCCTAGTAGAAAGTAATTTTATAAATGTTTTACATTTATATTCTTGAAAGAATACCTGCTTTTTATTTTTATATTGTAAGATTCTAGATATTTACTATTAGATCAGGCATATTCAGTCTTTCAAGGCAATAGAAATAAAACAAAAATAAACAAATGGGATGTAATCAAACTTACAAGTTTTTGCACAGCAAAGGAAACCATAAACCCAATGAAAAGACAATGTATAGAATGGGAGAAAATATTCACAAATGATGCAACTGACAGGGCTTAATTTCCAATATATTAATATTCTTAATGTTCCAAACCAAACAACCCAACTGAAAAATGGGCAGAAGATCTAAAGAGATATTTCTCCAAAGAAGAAATACAAATAGTCAATAGATACATTAAGAGATGCTAGACAAAGCTAATTATTAGAGAAATGCAAATCACCTCACATCAAACAGCCATCATTAAATGGTCTACAAATAAGAAATGCTGGAGAGGGCGAGAAGAAAAATATATACTATACTGCTTGTAAGATTGTAAGTTGGTGCAGCCACTGTGGAAACTAGTATGGTGGTTTTTCAGAAAACTAAAAACAGAATTACAATATGATCCAGCAACATCCAGAGGAAAACCATAATTCAAAAAGATATATGCAGCCTATATTCATAGCAAGCATTATTCAAAATTGCCAAGACATGGAAACAATCTAAATGTCCATCAAGAGATCAATGGATAAAGAAGATGTGCTACATATTTACAATGGAATACTACTCGGTCATGAAAAAGAGCAAAATAATGCCATTTGCGGCAACACAGATGCAACTAGAGATTATCATACTAATTGAAATAAGTCCAAATAAGAGAGACAAATACCACACAATATCACTTACATATGGAATCTAAAAGATGACATGAATGGAGCTATCTATGAAACAGAAACAGGTACTGTGTCAATGCTAGTATTATGTGATAAGCAAAATAAACAAGATAACAGCCCTCTTGGAGCTTATAAGAGAGTAAATCCAATAACATATAAATTTGTAAATGACAATTGATATAAAGAAGATACTGCTCTGAAGGTCTATAACAAGGGGATTTGATCTTGTCAGAAGAGTTAAGAAAGACTTTCTTGATCAAGTAAATCCTGAAATATAATCTAGAGAATAAATTATCTACATGGAGAGAAAGATATATTAGCTGAATAGACAGTTAGTGTAAGTCCCTGAGGAAGGTAGGTAGTTAGGACTTCTGTGTCTAGAGCTGAGAGGTGCAGGTGAGAGATGTATATTTACAAGTTATATGCATACAAGTATCGATTGCAAGAGAAATATAGAACTTATCTGAGGAAAGATTATAGAATAAAAAGAAAAACGGACCTAGAATTAAGCTTTGAGAAACCTGAGCTGTAATGACTGAGTAGAAGATTATAAACCAGCAAAGAAAAGACAGAAAAGTATCTTGAAAGAAAAGAGAAAAGCCAATACAGCAGTATGTCACAGAATCAAAAGAAAATGACTAACTTAATAAGAGGGTAATGGTGATTTCTGTTAAATTAATAAAAAAAGAAGCCATTCTATTTAAATTTTAGATCATAATCAGTGTGGTTCCATTGTGAATTCTTACTTTTCCAATTACTCATGCTTATGTATACTTACTTAAAGTATTCATCAGAAGGCCATTGTTGTCATGATGTTTATTCTGACCAGACACTATCTCAGGAATCCTGCACTGTGGCATGATAGACATGGTAGGATGTTCTGAGATATAGTTCCCTGGATCAGGGGAGGATTTGCACTCTTCATCTTCTGAATCACTGGAACTATCCTCACTGCTTGAAGATGATAAACTTTTAGAATCTGATGAACTATCACAACTACTCATCTGGTCCATTAGACTAGCTTCTGCTTTCAGTTCTGAAAATTAAACAGAATTTAAGAGTTAGGTCAAATAAATAATGTTAACTATAAATATTAAACAAACAATAAAATTTGAATGTGTCAGTTTCTAATGAACTTGATGAGGAATAAATAATTATACATTCACAGCATTTTATGCATTTTATTTAAAAGGCTCCTCTACTAGTACAAAATGAAAAGTAAAACCCCACTTCCTACCCCATCCTCAAGTTCTTTTAATCCTACTCTCCAGGAATAATCATTCCTAACAGTTTCTTGTCACCATATATGTTTTAAAATTCTGCTTGGAAACTGGCATTTTAGATTTTGACACCCAATTCACCTCTTGTTAAAGCTTGAGTGTGGTCTTTGTTACCACCCAACCAAGAGTTATTCTCTGAAGGGGTAGGTTTTAAGATGCCCTGACTATGCTATTCCTCCTTTCGTCTTTTCTGAGGTCTTTAACCACATTATCTTCCTCTTTTCATCTTTCAGAGTTCTCCTTTGGTTGTCTTTTGCATTATTTCCTGGGTGTATAGTTTTACTTTGTGGGAAAAATCAGAAACAGATAAGTCTATGTCATCTTGTCCCACAATACATTTTAAAAGACTGAATTTATACAGAGTGTGTTCTCTACCAAAAAAAATAAAATAAAATTTAAAATTTATAAATGGAACCTAGATAATCTTCAAATATTTGAGACATAAATGCTCTTATGAAAAGCCCATGGTTCAAGGAAGAAATAAAAAAGATTTTAGAAAATACTTCTAATTGAAAGAAAATGAAACCACAATTTATCAAAATCTGTGGAATAAAAATAAAGTACATTTTGGAGAAAAATTTAAAACATTTAATGATTATGTTGGAGGAAAAGGAGGTTTCAGTTAAGTGAACTAAGCTGTACTTAAGAAGCTAGAGAAAGAAGAGCAAAATTAAACAAGCAGAAGGAAAAAAAAATAAGAGCAAAAAACAAGAAAGACAACCAAAAGAGTGAAAATAAATGAAACAAAAATTGATTGCTTTAGATAAATAATGTTGATAAAACTCAGCTGGATTTATAAAGAAAAAAAGATACTAAACATGAATTAGAGAAGGAAATGGCAACCCACTCCAGTATTCTTGCCTTAATAAATCTCATGGACAAAGCAGCCTGGCAGGCAACAGTCCATAGGGTCATGAGAGTCGGACATGATTTAGTGACTAAACCACCACTGCCAAACATGAATTACTAATACAAGGAGTCAAAGAGGTGACAGCACTACAGATCTTACAGCATTAAAAGAATAGCAAAGAATACTGCAAACTACGTTATGCCCATGCTGCTGCTAAGTCGCTTCAGTCGTGTCCAACTCTGTGCAACCCCATAGATGGCAGCCCACCAGGTTCCCCCGTCCCTGGGATTCTCCAGGCAAGAACACTCGAGTGGGTTGCCATTTCCTTCTCCAATGCATGAAAGTGAAAAGTGAAAGTGAAGTCACTCAACCATATCCGACTGGTAGCGACCCCATGGACTGCAGCCTACCAGGCTCCTCCATCCATGGGATTTTCCAGGCAAGAGTACCAGCAGTAAATTAGATGAAATGGATCAATCCCTTGAAAGGCACAAACTTCTAAGGTTCACTCAAGAAGAAACAGCCTGAATATCCCTAAAAATTAGGCTGTAGTTATAACCTTCCCCACACCCTGCGCACAAAAAATCTCCAGTGACAGAAGACTTCACTAGTGAATTATACCGGTTATTTAAGGGAGAAATAATAGGAGCCTGATGCAAATTCTTCTGTATAATTAAGAAGGAAGGAATACTTTCCAATTAATTCCTTAGGGACAGAATTACTGATATAGAAATTCAACAGAGACATTACCAAACCAAACCAAACCAAACTAAACTCCCAATATCCTTTATGAACCTGGTCACAAAACTTTTAAGCAAAATTTTAGTAAATCAAATTTAATAATATATACCAGTGGTTTTCAACCAGCTACAATTTTCTCACGTAGGAAGACATCTGGCAATGTTTGAAAACATTTTTGGTTGTCACAATGGGGGGCAAGTGGTGATACTAACATCTACTGGGTAGAAGCTAGAGAGGCTGCTAAGTACTTTACAATACACAAGTCAGCGCCTGACAAAGAACCATCCAATTCCAAATGCCAATATTGCCGAGGTTTAGAAGTGCTAATATTTAAAAGGACAATATATAATGACTAAGTGGGGTTTTCCAAGGAATACAAACTTTTAAAAATCAATCCATATAGTTCACTATGTTAAAAACTGAAAAATAAAAGCCATCTCAAAATAGCAGAAATTTCAACAGTAGTTCTTGACCAAAAAAAGAATAAAAACTTTTAGAATAATAGAAATAGAAATTAACCTGATGAAGGACATCTAGAAAGAACTTACAGCTGAAATCATACATAATTGTAAAGAACTGAAATCATATGTAACTGTAAAGGACTAAATATTTTCTAGCATCAGAAACAAGAGGTTTTCCACTTTGACCACATCTAGTCAATGTTGAATTGAAGGTTCTACTTGGTACAATAAGTTGTAAAAAAGAAATAAGAACCATCAGATTGGAAAGGGAGAGGTAAAATTGTCATTATTCACAGAAAACATGACTGTAAATATAGAAAATCTTAAGGTACCTTCAAAAAAGGCTCAAGAATAGTGAGTTTAGCAAGGTTAAATATAACAAGGCAATATACAAAAATTGGTTTCATTCCAATCCCAAAGAAAGACAATGCCAAAGAATGTTTAAACTACCACAGAATTGCCCTCATTTCACATGTTAGCAAAGTAATGCTCAAAATTCTCCAAGATAGGCTTCAACAGTACATGAACCAAGAACTTCCAGATATTCAAGCTGGATTTAGAAAAGGCAGAGGAACCAGAGACCAAACTTCCAACATTTGTTGGATCATAGAAAAAGCAAGAGAATTCCAGAAAAATATCTACTTCTGTTTCACTGACTACGCTAAAGCCTTTGAATGTGTGGATCACGACAAACTGAGGAAAATTCTTCAAGAGATGGGAATAGCAAGCCACTTTACCTGTCACCTAAGAAACCTGTTTGCAGGTCAAGAAGCAACAGTTAGAACTGGAAATAGAACAACAGACTGGTTCCAAATTGGGAAAGGAGTACATCAAGGTTGTATATGGTCACCCTGCTTATTTAACTTATATGCAGAGTACATCATGCAAAATGCCAGGCTGGATGAAGAAGAAGCTGGAATCAAGACTGCAGGGAGAAATATCAATAACCTCAAATATGCAGATGATACCACCCTTATGGCAGAAAGTGAAGAGGCACTAAAGAGTCTCCTGATGAAAGTAAAACAGGACTGAAAAAGCTGGCTTAAAATTCAACATTCAAAAAACTAAGATCATGGCATCTGGTCCCATCACTTCACAGCAAATAGATGGGGAAACAATGGAAACAGTGAGAGAGTTTATTTTGGGGGGGCTCCAAAATCACTGCAGATGGTAACTGCAGCCATGAAATTAAAAGACAGTTGCTCCTTGGAAGAAAAGCTATGAAAAAACTAGACAGCATATTAAAAAGCAGAGACATCATTTTGCCAACAAAGGTCCATCTAGTCAAAGGTATGGTTTTTCCAGTAGCCATGTATGAATGTGAGTGTTGGACCATAAAGAAGGCTGAGCGTTGAAGAACTGATGCTCTTGAACCGTGGTGGTGTTGTTTAGATGCCCAGTTGTGTCAGACTCTTTGCAACCCCATGAACTGCAACACGCCAGGCCTTGCTGTTCCTCACCATCTCCTGAAGTTTGCCCAAGTTCATGTCCATTGCATTGGTGACGCTTACCAACCACATCATCCTCTGAAGCCCTCTTCTCCTTCCCCTCAATGTTTCCCAGTATCAGGGACTTCTCCAGTGAGTCAGCTGTTCATATCAGATGACCAAAATACTGGAGTTTCAGCTTCAGCATCAGTCCTTCCAATGAGTATTCAGGATTGATTTCCCTCAAGATTGACTGCTTTGGTATCCTTGCAATCCAAGGGGCTCTCAGGAGTCTTCTCTAGCACCATAGTTCGGAGGCATCAATTCTTTGGCGTTCTGCCTTCTTTATGGTCTAAATCTCACAACTGTACATGACGACTGGGAAGACCATAGCCTTGACTATATGGACCTTTGTTGGCAGGGTAATGTCTCTGCTTTTCAACATACCGTCTAGGTTTGTCATAGCCTTCCTGCCAAGAAGAAATTGTCCTTGGATTTAATGGCTGCAGTCACCATCCACAGTGATTTTAGAGCCCAAGAAGAGGAAGTCTGTCACGATATGTCTACCTTTTTCACTTCTATTTGCCATGAAGTAATGGGGCCCAATGCCATGATCATACTTTTTTTTCATATTTAATTTTAAGCCGGCTCTGTCACTCCTCCTTCACCCTCATCAAGAGGTTCTTTGGTTCCTCTTTGCTTTCTGCCATTAGAGTGGTATCACCCACATATCTGATGTTTCTCCCACCTATCTTGATTCCAGCCTGTAACTCATCCAGCCTGGATGTTGTGCTCAGTGTATAGGTTAAACAAACAGGTGACAGTAGACAGCCCTGCTGTACTCCTTTCTCAATCTTTAACCAATCAGTTGTTCCATACAGGGTTCTAACTATTGCTTCTTGACCCGCATACAGGTTTCTTAGGAGACAGGTAAGATGGTCTGGTATTCCCATCTCTTTAAAAGCTTTCCACAGTTTTTAATGACCCACACAGTCAAAGGCTTTAGTGTAGTCCATGAAACAGATATAGATTTTTTCTGGAATCCCCTTGCTTTCTCTATGACCCAGTGAATGTTGGCAATTTGATATCTGGTTCTGCTGCCTTTTCTAAACCCAGCTTGGACATCTGGAAGTTCTTGGTTCATGTAATTCTGAAGCATAGCATGCAGGACTTTAAGCATGACCTTATTAGCATGGGAGATGAGTGCAACTGTCCAATGGTTAGCACATTCTTTAGTACTACCCTTCTTGGGAATTGGAATGAGGACTGACCTTTTCCAGTCTTGTGGCCACTGTGGGGTCTTCTAGATTTACTGACTTATTGAATGCAACACCCTGATGGCATCATCCTTTAGGGTTTTAAATAGCTCTACTGGAATCCCATCACATCCACTAGCTTTATGAACAATAGTGCTTCCTAAGGTTCACTTGACTTTGCACTCTAGAATATCTGGCTCTGGGTAACTGACCACACCATCATAGTAATCTGGTTCTTTAAGATCTTTTTTGTACAGTTCTTCATGTATTCTTTCCATCTCTTCTTGATCTCATCAGTGTCTACTAGCTTTCTACCATTTCTGTCCTTATTGTGCCCATGAAGCCTTCTTGTCTCTCCGTGCTATTCTTTGGAACTCTGTGTTTAGTTGGATGTACCTTTTCCTTTCTCCTTTGCTTTTTGCTTCTCTTCTTTCTTCAGCTATTTGTAAAGATATCCTCAAATAACCACTTTGCCTTCTTGCTTTTCTTTTTCTTTAGGATGGTTTTGTTTGCTGCCTCCTGTACAATATTACAGACCTCTGTCCATAGTTCTTCAGGCATACTGATAACTAGATTGAATCCCTTGAATCTATTCATTACTTCCAGCACATATTTCACTTCTACATATTTACTCAAGATAAAACATTTGTCTTTTCAAAGACTTATATGTGATATTCATAACAGTTTTATTTGTAAAAACCAAAAACTGGAAACAACTCAAATGTCCATCTTCAAGTTGAGCAGATAAGCAAATTGTTGTCCATCCATAAAGAAGACCACTACTCAGCAGTAAAAAAGGATTGAACTATTGATACATGCTTCAATAATGGATTATTATCAAAATAATTATGCTTAGTGCAAAAATATAGACATTAAAAAAGAGAACATACTATATGATTCCACTGATATAAATGTCTAAAATAAACAAACTAATGATAGTGACATAAAACAGATCAGTACTTACCTAGGAATGGATGGGGTGGGGAGGACTGACAGAGCGGTATTACAAATGACCAGGCAGAAACGTTTTAGAGTGATAAATAAGTTCATTATCCTGGTTGTAGCTATAACTTCAGGATGTACAAATATCAAAACCTAACAGACTGTAGTTTAAATACCTGAAGATTTTGTGTCAGATATACCTCAATAAAGCTGTTAAAACATGTACAAACACATGCACAAGTGATACTACATGGCTTCTGAGCCTGTGTAATTAAAAAGATAAAGATTTCACCTCTCTCCACTCTGTCCTTTCTCCTTTCACTCTGTTTCTCAACACTTATTCTTGGAACCTAGCCAGGTTGTGAGGAAACTTAGGCCACCTGGAAAGGTTATGTGTACTCTAATCATTATAGCAACAAGAGTTCTGAGATTATATTTTCCTTATTGTTCGTAAAGTGAACACTAATATAATAGGGATCTAATACTATACTAGGCTTAGAAAGGGGCAAGTGGAAACAGTGATATATAAGTTATGAAGGCTAAGTGTAGAAGCAAATAAACTTAGTGATCAGGATCTTGCCCCTACCACATTTAATTACAATAACACGAACACCCAAACTGCAGCTAGAAAAGAAATAGATATATGTTTCCTTACTTTCGAAGGGACTGTGCTTCCCTAGAAACACCTTCCTGCTGAGAAGTGAGCAGCAATTCAGAAGAACTTGCCTGCTGCTTTGGCTTCCTACATCTCCTCACTTCACTATTGGTTTGGCGACATCTTAGACATCTATAGTCTGGCTATACATAAAAAAACTTCAACAGGAAGATGCTGTGAAGACCTGAATTTGAATCATCATAACTGTCAAAGAGAAGAAAACTCCAATTACACATATTTAAACTTGTTCCTCTGAATAATAAATAATAAATACTTGTTCCTCTGAATAATAAAAAATGTAAATTCTGTTATATATAGGCTCATGTACATAAAATCATTAAACTACATTCTTCCCCTAGAAAAACCCATAATTTAAAAAATGCATTTAGAATTTTATGGTTATTTTGCTTGTCAATTAAAATGAAAGATTTCACTTAACATTTATTAATAATTTCTTGTAAAGGGACATTACATATGCATAGATTTTACCTCTTTCAATATCATCCATTGGAGATGCTGGGGACATCTTGTCTTCGGATGGAGAATGTTTTATAAGATTGGGAGGCCTAGGTGAATTTCGCATTTGTTGCTGCTGCTGTTCTATCCGATACCTAATTTTACTACTTCCTTCAAACCTGCCATTAAGAATAGCAAAAGGTCAAAACTAGTATGATGATTGCAATATAACAACAATTTCAACTTACAAAGCTGCTAAAACTGACAGCTTGTTCTTTATTCTAGAGATCTTTAAAATGACATTCAAAGCTTAAAGCATTAACTTAATTCATTATATAACAAATGTTTATTGAGCCCTGTTATATACATGGCATACACAAAGGTTCACTGAAGGATACAAATATGAATAAACAAAACCACCGCTCCAAACTGAAGAGATAAGACATACACAAATGACTGAAATAAAATGAAATTATATGTAAGTATACAAGAGGTACAATATAGTCCCTAAATTTTTAAACTTTCACCCTGTTAAATCACTCCCACATTTTTCATTTATAACATTAAGACATTACTAAAGAAGATTCGTATACTCTCCTTTCAATACTTTTAAGAAAAGAGTATGTATAAATAACACAGTTATGCTTGACTTTCCTGCTCCCATTTCCAGTCACCAAATCCTGTTAGTTCTCCATTCACAAAGTATTTGGAACTTCACTTTTCTCTTCATTCCTACTCTCAAGAATCATGGTTTATGCATTTTTCTGTTTCCCACATGGTTTCATTTAAATTGATTTGCTTGGTATATTTACATTTCAAAACAAGAATGTAAGCATGTCGATCCCTGGTTAAAAAAATTTTAATACAGTATATAACCACCGCCAATAAGACAATGCCCTAATTTCATAGTTAATATTAAAAGCGTTAGCTCACCTAACTCTAGCTTCTTCCAGCCTCACTCCCCATTTCTAATATTGGTACACAAGCAAAGAAACTAATTTCTGCTCTATTCAAGCAAATCTTAGTCATGGGTTCCAAATAAGTCAGATAAATTCCTACCTTGTTTACGTCCTCATGTTCTCTCTGATAATTAAATCAGTATTTTCTAAACTTTTCTACCAATAAAAATCATCTGAAAGGAGAGGATAATTTAAAAAAAAAAGCTTCCTAGGCTCCTTCCCTGATCAGTTGAGTTTGGGAACTCATATGTTTAACAAACACACAATGGTAATTCTTATCATCAAACATGTTTGGGGAAAACAGTCTTAAATCTTATCCTCCTCTTAAGGTACATCAGTAAAAGCCCTGTTAATGCTTTGGTGAACCATAACTTCTCCCTTCTTTTAATTCCTAGAACAAGTTTCGTCTATACTATTAATATTTTTATGACTTTTAGAGCACAGACCTTTATGCTCATGCTAATTAATCTACTGGCTATTCCCCCCAAAATCTGAGATGGCTATACTCTCTTACTTATTTTTTAAATGCAATTATATGTTACCCAATTAAAATGTAGAAGTTTTGAGGTTACTATTTGTACTGGAAATTCTCCCTTTTCTTGCTTCATGTTTTCTAGGTTCTTGATAAAATTTTACTAATGATAATGATATTATTTGGAGAGTACATGATGACCCCTTTCAGTCCAGTTCTACAAACATATCTACAATAGAATAAAGATATAACTACATATAAGAAAACCTTTAGAAACAAAAGAAGCTTTTATATATCATAGTGAGAAATGGTAAAAGCATCTGGCTAAACGATCTTCATCAAATTTAAACTTGCAAAAAAATCAGAACATCTTGCACCACACAGAAAAATCCTTACATAATAATGTGACTTAATCCAATAACTTTTTTCATTGACATTTTCTTAGCAATTTATGTGTTGATAAAATATTGCTTTCATTAACCACATACCTTGTTTTTTTTACAGTGATGTTGCTGCTGAGTTTTTCTAGACGACATTCCCCAGTATCATGGTTAATAATCAAAATGCATTCTTTTAAGTAAGGTTTCTTTGAACCTTTGAAAACAGTTACTGGTGCAGTTGAACCCTGTTCAAAAAGTATATTATTATTACTTGAAATTTATCATAGAAATTCAGTTGAAAGAGACTGAGATCTTCACTTCCCTGGTACCTCAGCTGGTAAAGAATCCACCTGCAATGTGGAAGACCTGGGTTTGATCCCTGGGTTGGGAAGATCCCCTGGAAAAGGGAACAGCCCCACTCCAGTATTCTGGCCTGGAGAATTCCATGGACTGTATAGTCCATGGAGTTGCAGAGTCAGACATGACTGAGTGACTTTCACTTGAGATCTTCTGTCTTTCTCAATCTATATTGTACTTCAAGTCATCTAAGTTAACTACCTAAATTTACTACTCTGGCAATAAGGACTATAGTAAAAAAAACACAGATGAAGAGAGACTGAGATCTCAAAATTGCTGTCTTGAGGAAAGAGACTAGAGGAAGTAGTTGCGCTAAGCCAGTAAAGATTTGTTTCATAAATCTTTGTTGATTTGGTCTACAACAGGCAAGTGGGGTTCAATTCTAATACAGCCAATATACTTTACAATAAGGGGACAAAAGTTATGAATTATATTTCCTACCCCTCCTCTTCTTCCTTCTTTAATTTGTCAAATCTGAAATCTTATTAAAGAGGTGCTCCCCTATGCAGATTAAGTAAAATGAATGTATCAAGAAACATGTTACATTAAACCCACTGATTAATTTTAGCACCCTTAAAAGTGGGCCAAGCAGACATTATATGCCTCGTGATGTAATATAAAAGAAAGTACAAGGCACAATCTACAAAGAATTTTTGCCTGAAGAGAAAAAAAAAGCCTTACAAAGAATCTAACTCTCATCAAGCTTTTAAAAATAACTACCAGCTTATAGGAAACATGAGGAGAGAGAAACAAGTTACATAATACCAGACAGAAGTTATTTGAAATCCAGAATGTGGGTACATCCTCTAGGACAATTAATCTGGTTTCTCCAGCAAACTGATGTCATAATAGAGGTTAGGGAATTTTACAGAATAAAAGAGGCATAAGAAACGTAATATCAGAATGCAATATAGGAATATAAAATAGGTAAACAATAAGGACCTACTCTATAGCAAAGGGAAATATGCTCAATACCTTATAATAATTTACAATGGAAAATAATCTGAAAATATAGATAGATATGTATAATTGAATCACTTTGATATATCCTTGAATTAACACAACCTTGTAAATTAATGACACCTCAATAAATAAATGAATACATAAATACGCTATATAAAGAATTTACATGGATTCCTAGGGAGAAAAGCTGAAAAAAGACATTTTTGAAAGCATCATGAAAATATAAATATGGACCAGGTCTTTAATTAATTTTATGGTAAGTGATGGTTAGCATGGTCCTTAAGTGAAAATAAAAATATCCTTATCAGTTAAGGATGTATACATAAGCATTTGTGAATATCTGGGATTGCTTTTAAAATATGACAGGAAAAAGAAGTAGTAGGAGACTATATTAAAAACAGCAAAATAGTGATAATTCTTTTTTTTTCCGTTTATTTTTATTAGTTGGAGGCTAATTACTTTACAATATTGTAGTGGTTTTTGTCATACATTGACATGAATCAGCCATGGATTTACATGTATTCCCCATCCCGATCCCCCCTCCCACCTCCCTCTCTACCCGATTCCTTTGGGTCTTCCCAGTGTACCAGGTCCGAGCACTTGTCTCATGCATCCAACCTGGGCTGGTGATCTGTTTCACCCTTGAGAGTATACTTGTTTCAATGCTATTCTCTCAGAACATCCCACCCTCGCCTTCTCCCACAGAGTCCAAAAGTCTGTTCTGTACATCTGTGTCTCTTTTTCTGTTTTGCATATAGGGTTATCGTTACCATCTTTCTAAATTCCAAATATATGTGTTAGTATACTGTAATGGTCTTTATCTTTCTGGCTTACTTCGCTCTGTATAATGGGCTCCAGTTTCATCCATCTCATTAGAACTGATTCAAATGAATTCTTTTTAATGGCTGAGTAATATTCCATGGTGTATATGTACCACAGCTTCCTTATCCATCCGTCTGCTGATGGGCATCTAGGTTGCTTCCATGTCCTGGCTATTATAAACAGTGCTGTGATGAACACTGGGGTACACGTGTCTCTTTCAGATCTGGTTTCCTCGGTGTGTATGCCCAGAAGTGGGATTGCTGGGTCATATGGCAGTTCTATTTCCAGCTTTTTAAGGAATCTCCACACTGTTTTCCATAGTGGCTGTACTAATTTGCATTCCCACCAACAGTGTAAGAGGGTTCCCTTTTCTCCACACCGTCTCCAGCATTTATTGCTTGTAGACTTTTGGATAGCAGCCATCCTGACTGGCGTGTAATGGTACCTCATTGTGGTTTTGATTTGCATTTGTCTGATAATGAGTGATGTTGAGCATCTTTTCATGTGTTTGTTAGCCATCTATATGTCTTCTTTGGAGAAATATCTGTTCAGCTCTTTGGCCCATTTTTTGATTGGGTCATTTATTTTTCTGGAATTGAGCTGCAGGAGTTGCTTGTAATTTTTGAGACTAATCCTTTGTCTGTTGCTTTGTTTGCTATTATTTTCTCCCAATCTGAGGGCTGTCTTTTCACCTTGCTTATAGTTTCCTTTGTTGTGCAAAAGCTTTTAAGTTTCATTAGGTCCCATTTGTTTATTCTTGCTTTTATTTCCAATATTCTGGGAGGTAGGTCATAGAGGATCCTGCTGTGATTTATGTCGGAGAGTGTTTTGCCTATGTTCTCCTCTAGGAGTTTTATAGTTTCTGGTCTTACATTTAGATCTTTAATCCATTTTGAGTTTATTTTTGTGTATGGTGTTAGAAAGTGTTCTAGTTTCATTCTTTTACAAGTGGTTGACCAGTTTCCCCAGCACCACTTGTTAAAGAGGTTGTCTTTTTTCCATTGTATATCCTTGTCTCCTTTGTCGAAGATAAGGTATCCATAGGTTCGTCGATTTATCTCTGGGCTTTCTATTCTGTTCCATTGATCTATATTTCTGTCTTTGTGCCAGTAATGGTGATAATTCTTGAAACTCAATAAGTACATAGGAGTTCATTATACTATTCTATTTTCCATAATAAAAGGTTAAAGAACCCTGGCTCACTCCTAATAACCCACATTTACCGACATGCTCCTCTTCTATCCTTTGTTCCCACTTTCCTCAACACTGAAGGAATTTTATGTTTCTCATTCTCTTATTTTATCCCACACCTATGTATCCCTAAACAATATATTGTTATAATTGCTTGGTTTTGAACTTTATAGAAGTACATTGAATTTTTACAGCACTAATTATAATAATTTTGTCAAACACAATAGTAATATTAGATCAAGTTAGAACAAGGTGACTTCTAAAAATCTGCAGCCCCACAGACTGTAGCCCCCCAGGCTCCTCTGTCTATGGAATTTTCCAGGCAAGAATACTGGAGCAGGTTGCCATTTTCTACTCCAGGGGATGTTCTCCACCCAGGGATTGAACTCCTGCATTGTAGGCAGATTCTTTACCACTAGCTGCATTGTAGGTAGATTCTTTACCACCAGGGTCACCTGGAAAGCCCCCATAAAAGACTAAAGTGAAGTGCTGCTCAGTCCTGTCAGACTCTTTGGGACCCCATGGACTGCAACCTGCCAGGCTCCTCTGTCAATGGGATTCTCCAGGCAAGAATACTGGAGTGGGTAGCCATTCCCTTCTCCAGGGGACCTTTCTGAACTAGGGATCAAACCCAGGTCTCCTGCATGCAGGCAGACTCTTTACCATCTGAGTCACCAAAAAGGTTGAAAGGGCCTATCATATTTTTAAAGTTAATAATATCAGAGATTGTACACAGACCACAAGGAAGAGTATGAGATAAATTTTGTAATTGAGGCTGCCATACAAAAGGGATAGATTAGAGACATCTGAGAGGTTGGGAGAGAACATGATGAAACCAAAAGAAAGAAACAAATTTTTCTAAGACAAAATGATCTATAGGAAGTTAAGCATGCACAGCACATAGAAGAGGACACATCTGGAGGGGCCTATAAGAAAGAGTAAGATGTGGATCACTCAGGAGAAGCCCTGGTAAGGTACAGAGCCAGAAGCATGATCTTAACAAATATACCTACTTGGCTGGTAAATACATTTTTTAGATGTCTTCACTGAAAACAAGTGAGTAAAATACCCCCAAATAGCAACCCAAGGGCCCCATGTTACATTTAAGAGAGTCACGCAATATATTCTCCTTAAAAATACTTGTATTCTTAGAATAGAAAACATTTAAAAATACAATACTTTGTTACTCTGAGTTTCTGAAGAAGGAAGACTGACTAGAACTTTTTTTTTATTGCTCCAAGCATTTACAGTATCAAGATCTGCACAGGTACTCAAAGAATGTTCATATAAATAATATGAACATTTTTTATTATAAATAAAATATAATCCCTATGCCTGCCTTCTATACTCTGAACAGTTTTTTAAAAAATATTTATTTATTTATTTGGTTGTGTTGGGCCTTAGCTGTGGCACGCAGGTTCAGTTACCCAGTAACAATTGTTCACAATCCCTATACCTGCCTTCTAAACTCTGAACAGTTTTTTTAAAAATATTTATTTATTTATTTGGTTGTGTTGGGCCTTAGCTGTGGCATGCAGGTTCAGTTACCCAGTAACATCCGGGATCCTAGATCCCCGACCAGGGACCAAACACACGTCCCCCGCATTACAAGGAAGATTCTCAACCAACAGATCACCAGGAAGATTGCAAACAAGTTTTTTAATTAAAATTTTTTACTCATTAAATTGAGCACCACTCTTATTTTAAACTTCAATTTCTGACTTTATTTCAGGTCCCAAGAAAGGGGTATTAAGGTACCAGGAAACTCCTAAGCATATGAACTCTCTTTGCTTCTGAATAACTGCTGAGCACATCCTACTACCTCATATTTCCTGCTATAACCCGACTTCAGAATGCAATTATCAGCTCACCTAGGTTACTGCTATCCTCTTTCCTTCTTTCCTTCTAGTTTTCTTTTCCATCTGCTGACAGGCAAATCTGAGCATGTTGGATTGTGAATAACAGGAAAGGAAAGGAATCAGTAATAGAGTGGAAGAGCACAATAGTACTCCCAAAGTAACACAACGGAAAACAAAGAAAAAACGAAAAAAGAAGAGATGCTTCATAAAACTATTAAAGAACAAAAAGAGAAAACAAATTAAAATAACTTATATATATATATATATATATATATACTATAACACAATAGAAATAAAAATCAAGGATATCAACTTTGAACTAAATGTGGATAGAATTCTCCTAATAGAAAGTACAAATTAGGTTTAAGACTGAAACACAGAATATTCCATTAATAAAAGGTATACTTAAAAATGTAAGTAAATAAAAGTAAGAGATACTAAGATTCCATGAACATGCAAATAAAAAGAAAGCAAAGGTGGCAAAATTAATATTAAACAAGGTGGTATTTAGGCTTAAAATCACAAAAACAAGGTAAAAATGTTTATTATACAATGATAAAAGATATACTTCATTTGAAAGTATAATTGTAATAGGACATTAAAATAGGGCTCTAGTCCTAAAATAAGCTAAAGTCCAAAGAATGTGGTGGGCTACTTTGTTAAGTGAGCTATGTAAACTTAAAGCAAAGAAACAGACTATATTCATCTTGGAAGGGACTTTGACCAACAGGGTCATCTAAAGTGGCATGTAGCCATCAGATAAATGGAATTCTCACATGTCCAGGGTTTGAGAGCTAGAGTTGTTGAGCAACCACTAGACACACATTCATTGCATAATATGACATGTAGCTGGAAGTTTCCTGTGGGCTATTTCACTGAAGCCTGCAAAAGTACCTCACAAGATAACACTAAACATATCCCAGGCTTGGACTGCACCAGTGACAAATCATTTGCAGTCAAGTATCTCTTTTCCTTTCAAAATTCAACATTTTGAAATTTTATAGCAGTCAACCATAGAGAGTTTTTTTGTAAAAATGAGAGGCTTGTAAATGCCCAATGCTGACTCCCTTAAGAGTGTTCATTTTCATTCATTCCTTCTACTTGATACTATCAAAGAAAACCTAGAAAAATGAAAATGAGAAAATTCACCCTATCAAAGAACCACCAGAACCTTGAGGTATTCTTAAAAGAATAATAAAAGTTCTATTTTATGGAATGCCTCCAAGCTTCTAGGCATTTTCACCAAGATGATGAAAATAAGTTGATAGAGAAAATAGGAGAATCTAAATGCCTCAAACTAATAATCAATACATTTCTACAAACACCCACAAAATTAAGAAAAGTGAAGAAATGTAAAGCTCCTACCTAGTTAAAGTTCTCTAATGAAGGGGAAAAGTGAAAGTGAAAGGGATTCGTGTCTGACTCTTTGTGACCTCATAGACTATACAGTCCATGGAATTCTCCAGGCCAGAATACTGGAGTGGGTATTCTTTCCCTTTTTCAGGGGATCTTCCCGACCCAGGAATTGAACCGGGGTCTCCTGCATTGCAGGTGGATTCTTTACCAACTGAGCTTTCAGGGAAGCCCAATGAAGGAGGAAAACCCCACAAAATTTGAGAATATAATTTCTAATCTTATTCACAATTGCTTACACACTGTATGCCCTGGAGGGAGAAAAAAAAAAAACTGCCTTTAGCAAACAGCAATTTTAGAAATTCTTTTCCATTCCAGCTATGTGAGAGTCACAGTACAGGATAAAATTCAAATTCTTTCACATTACACAATAGGCCCTTCTTTATCTGATTCCTAAATATCTTTCCATCTCCCACTATGTCCTTATAGGCACCCTTTTTTACCTAGCCATAGTGGCCTATATGTAGTTCTTCAAGTGTAACAGACTTTTTTGTTGCTTTGTTGTAGCCCATATCTTTCTTTTCTCTGCCTAGAGATCCTTCTCTTTCTTTCACCTGGGTAATTTCAACTCATCTTCCAAGACAGCATTCCCAGTGTCTCCTTTCCCTCTCCAGGCTGAATGATCTCTCCTTTGTACTCCCATAATATTCTATGTATACCTTTATGATAGTCCTTACATTATGAAACTTTGATCAATTATCTCCTATCTTTCTCATTAAATGGTAATATTTTTTAGGACACCTACCACATCTAGTCTATCTCTGTATTTTTCTTTTTTGGCTGTGCTGTATACTATGTGGGAAAAAAACCACCTGATGTTTTTCAAGAAATTTTAAATTTAGGTTTTTCTTTAATAAACCTCACAAAGCAAAAAAAGCCTTAGATTACTGGGTACTTCATTTCCAAACTATTTTAGAGATACCAGAATCTGAACACTTTTAATAACAGAGTAAAACAAAGCCTTACTTATCTACACTGTTTCACACTGAAATCTATTTTTCATTTCCTTCAGTTTCTAAGGGAGCACATGAGCAACATACAATAAAATGCCCCCATGAATTTAATTAACATTAGGGAAAACTTCACAGGCACCAACTGATACAGTCTGACATAAAAGTGAGGTCTCAATACATAGTATTGGCTGATAAAAAGAAAAAGATGGAAGGCTAGATAGAGGATAGAGAGCCTACATGCTATATCTCTAAATATGACAAGCCATCTCATAAATGTATATTAGAGAATGTGGATGAACTAGCACAAAACCATTCCTATTACAAAAATTAAATAAGACAAAGGAAAAAAATCTCAGAAAGTCTGGTGTTTTCTATGTTAAACTATAAATTTACAATCTTGGTTTTCTTTGAGAATAGATCAAGTGAGTATAAAAGAAACAAGTTGAATGCTGAGAAATTTCTAACTCAAGGATTGAGAAAACTAGAGCATACAATGTAAACAGTATTTGATAACATCTGAAGACTTTTGAAATGGACAAAACTTTTGGTAAAGGCCCCCTGACCTAGTCTCTCTCTTTACCAACCCATTCCCTAAGTAAGTTATTGCTAAAAATCACTCCTAAAGCACAAATCTAACCATGTTAATTCTCTGCTTAAAAACCTCTGAAAGTGAAGTGTTACTCGCTCAGTCATGACTAACTCATGCTCAGACTCTTTGCAAGTCCGTGCTCTGTCCATGGAATTTTCCAGGCAAGAATACTGGAGAGGGTTGCCATTCCCTTCTCCAGGGGATCTTCCTGACCCAGGAACTGAACCCTTGTCTCCTGTGACTTCTGATTTGCAGGCAAATTCTTTACCCACTGAGCCATCAGGGGAACTCTAAAAACCTCTAGTGGTTCTCTAATACCTATGGGATAAACTTCAAATTCTATATTACAACTAAAAGATTCTTTATAATCTGATCCCAATCTACATTTCCAGTCTCATATCAATCATTTTTCATCATTCTGTAATTTACTACATGCATTCATTTAGTCACAAAATTCTAGTCCTTTCTCCACAGAAACCTTTCACATATTGTTCCTTTTGCCTAGAATATTCTATTCCTCTTATAACTGGTGAAATTCCACTTGTCCTTTAAGTCTTGGCCCAAATAGCATCTGTTTTGTGAAGCTTTTCAACATTCCACCAGGCAGAGCATTTAATTCTGTTCACGTGCTTAAACAGAATTTTTTCAGAGCTCTAATCTATAGCACTAGATGTTCATGTGCCTGTCTGCTATAACAGATTAGGACGAGGTGGCAGAGGATATGCTATTATTCTTAGTTTGTAGTACAAAATCCGGTTCATAATAGTGATTTAATAAATATGTTTAGATTTCTAATTGCTTCATATCATTTAATAAGATAGTTCTTGAAAATTACAAAGTAAAGTTTAAGGTTTCAAGCATTTTAAGATTGTTTTATTTAAGATAGTTTAAGATCTTTTGCTTTACTGTATTTATTAATTACTTTAACAGATTATCACTATATTAACTGTGCAATTATTTTCATTTAAATTTAGTAAAAATCCTATAAAAAATCTCTTCAGTTTAAATAGTAATATATATACTCACTTCTATATTTGGTAGAGTAATTGTCACCTGTTCACCTTTGCCGACTTCAAGCTCTCCTTCACAAGAAGTGTCAATAGAGGCAGGTTTGAAGTCATCTAAAAATACATACAGATACAGATTTTTATAAGATGGAATAATACCTGAATACCAAAAACCGAGATTGTTTCAGAGTGATAAATCATTTTCCAGCAGCCAGTAATTAAAATGGATTAGAAGAGTCTTAATATTAAAAACAAATAAAATACAATCCAGTTTTTCTGTATATATAATTCTGAGAAAAAAAATAACTACACTCTAAAACAGTGTTCCTCACATCATGATGCCTTAGAATCTGTTTATATCAAGATGATCCAAACTAAGATGTTCCACCACTAAAAATGAAATAATGTCAGTGTCTTCACAATTTGCTAAAACCAATTGTCAGTGTAACATTTTCAACTTTCAGGTTTTTGTTATTGTTGTTCAGTCACCCAGTTGTGTCTGACTCTTTGCAACGCCATCGACTGCAACATGCCAGGTCTCCCTGTCCTTCACCATCTCCCAAAGTTTCCCCAAGTTCATGTCCATTGCATTGGTGACGCATACCAACCACATCATCCTCCGAAGCCCTCTTCTCCTTCCCCTCAATGTTTCCCAGTATCAGGGACTTCTCCAGTGAGTCAGCTGTTCATATCAGATGACCAAAATACTGGAGTTTCAGCTTCAGCATCAGTCCTTCCAATGAGTATTCAGGATTGATTTCCCTCAAGATTGACTGCTTTGGTATCCTTGCAATCCAAGGGGCTCTCAGGAGTCTTCTCTAGCACCATAGTTCGGAGGCATCAATTCTTTGGCGTTCTGCCTTCATTATGGTCCAAATCTCACAACTGTACATGACCACTGGGAAGACCATAGCCTTGACTATATGGACCTTTGTTGGCAGGGTAATGTCTCTGCTTTTCAACATACCGTCTAGGTTTGTCATAGCCTTCCTGCCAAGAAGAAATTGTCCTTGGATTTAATGGCTGCAGTCACCATCCACAGTGATTTTAGAGCCCAAGAAGAGGAAATCTGTCACGATATGTCTACCTTTTTCACTTCTATTTGCCATGAAGTAATGGGGCCAGATGCCATGATCATACTTTTTTTTAATATTTAGTTTTAAGCTGGCTCTGTCACTCTCCTCCTTCACCCTCATCAAGAGGCTCTTTAGTTCCTCTTTGCTTTCTGCCATTAGAGTGGTATCATCTGCATATCTGGGTTACTGATGTCTCTCCCACCTATCTTGATTCCAGCTTGTAACTCATCCAGCCTGCCATTTTTCATGATGTGCTCAGTGTATAGGTCAAACAAACAGAATGACAGCAGACAGCCCTGTTGTACTCCTTTCTCAAACCAATCAGTTGTTCCATACAGGGTTCTAACTGTTGCTTTTTGACCCACATACAGGTTTCTTAGGAGACAGGTAAGATGGTCTGGTATTTCCATCTCTTTAATAGCTTTCCACAGTTCGTTATGTTCAGGTTTTTGTTTTCCCCTAAATTCTTCTTAAACCACCTTGATCTCCTACTACCACTTGTCCTCTGTCCTGTGGAAAAGTGAGAGAGTTATTTGCTCAGTTGTGTCCAGCTCTTTGCAATCCATGGACTGTAGCCCACCAGGCTCCTCTGTCCATGGAATTCTCCAGGCAAGAATACTGGAGTGGGTAGCCATCTCCTTCTCTAGGGGATCTTCCCAACCCAGGGAACAAACCCTGGTCTTCAGCATTGCAGATAGATTCTTTACCTTCTGAGCCAACAGGGAACCAAGGAATTCTGCTATCCTAGCAGAATACAAAATGAATGAAAACACAGAAAACACATATTCATGGGGAAACTTTAAAGAAAGCTTATTTATTTTAACAGCTTGAGTTTCTCATGGATATATACACCACTAAAAAAATGTGTAAATTTAACCAAATCTGCCACTTCACACGAAATTAAAATAAGCTTTCATTTTGGATTAAAGTATGTCATTAAAATATATCACCTAGATGGAACTTAGGGTGCTGAGATATAAGTATTTCACATACTAAACAAGCTTAGAAACCTCAAAGAACACAAAGAGAAACTTCAACTAGATTAAAAACCTAAACATTAAGACCAAAACCAATAAAACTCTTAGAGGAAAATATAGGCAAAGAACACTTTGACATAAATCACAGCAGATCCTCTATGACCCACCTTCTAGAGTATTGGAAATAAAAACTAGGATAAACAAGTGTAACCTAATTAAACTTAAAGGCTTTTGCACAGCAAAGGAAATGATAAAAAAGGTGAAAAGACAATCCTCAGAATGAGAGAAAATAATAGCAAATGAAACAACTGACAAAAGATTAATATTCAAAATATACAAGCAGCTCATATAGCTCAAGAACAGAAAAACAAACCACCAAATCAAAAAGCTGAAACAGACATTTCTCCAAAGAAAGCATACAGATGGCTAATACACACATGAAAACATGTTTAATATTGCTTATCAGTAGAGAAATGCACATCAAAACTACAATGAGGTTATCACTTCACACCAGTCAGAATGGCCATCATCAAAAAATATAAAAATAATAAATACTGGATAGAGTGTAGAGAAAAGGGAACCCTCCTGCACTATTTGTGGGAATGTAAATTGATGTAGCCACTAGGAAGAACACTATGGAGATTCCTTAAAAAACTAGGACTAGAACTACCAGCAATCCCACTCCTGCACATATACTCTGAGAAAACCATAATTGAAAAAGACATATGTACCCCAATGTTCATTGCAGCACTATTTACAATAGCTAGGACATGGAAGGAACCTAGATGTCCATGGACAGATGAATGGATAAAGAAGTTGTGATATATATATATATATATATATATACACATATACATATATATATACACACACACACACACACACAAGGGAATTTACTCAGCCATAAAAAGGAATGCATTGGAGTCAGTTTTAATGAGGTAGATGAACCTAGAGCCTGTTATACAGAGTGAAATAAGTCAAAAAAAGAAAAACAAATATTGCACATTAACACATATACATGGAATCTAGAAAAATGATGCTGATGAACCTATTTGCACAGTGGCAATAGAGACACAGACATAGAGAACAGACTTGTGGACATAGCGGGGGAATGAGAGGGTTGGACAATTGGGAGAGGAGCACTGAAACATATATATTACCATATGTAAAACAGATAGCAGTGGGAATTTGCTGTATGACGCAGAGAACTCAAACCTGGTGCTTTGTGACAACCTAGAAGGTTGAGACGGGATGGGAGGTGGGAGAGAGGTTCAAGAGGGAGGAGACATATGTAGATCTATGGCTGGTTCATGTTGATGTATGGTAGAAACCAACACAACATTGTAAAGCAATTATTCTCCAATTAAAAATAAATAAGTTTAAAAAACTAAGATATGAAAATCACTTAAAACTAATTCACATCAGTATACATCAATGTTTGATAATAATTCTGATGCAGAATTCCTTCACTGTTGTCAAGTTATCTTCTGATTTTTTCAAAAGAGAAGCTGGTGTTAGGTAAGAAGTTGGGCATGAGCAATGAGGGGTGGCCTATCCAAAAAGGATGCAAGCTGATCTCTAAAACAAAAATTTGGAACAATGGACTAAAGGGTTTAAAACAACAGACAAGTTATAGCTCAGTTCCACTCAAGCAGACAGATCTTCTATTAGACACACTCCCAAGACATGGGAGCAGGCTGACCCCAAAGCAGCTGTCTTCCTCATCCCTGTTAGCTTCCCTCTTTTTATACTTCCTATTTCCTTCTTTTGGTTGTTCCCAGTGCAAAATAGGGCTTGTACCCACCACCAGTCAAGGAAAGGAAATACAAATGGGCATACACTCAAGGCCAACTGGCAATTGCAAGTTATATAACAACAGACTTTGTTGTGTATGTCTTCTCATAATTCCATCTGTTATGATCAGATATATGTATGTGTAGAATATTTACGAATCCTTAAAGGGCTCCTAGCTGCCTAAGGTTACTTGGAGAAGTGCCCATGGTTAGTTTGTATCCACTATGTGCCAAGGGCTCATGTGCAGGAGTTGGAATAGTCTCTGTGGTTAATTTTGTAGCATATCTGTGAGCTCTCCTGGGTGTGCCTGGAATGGGGTTTAGTCCATTGTTACAATTTTTGTTGTGATGAAATAAAAACCGAGGAAGAGAAATAAACCAACTTGACACTCGTAATCCATATTTTTGTATAAAGGATCTTGATTTTTAGGATTTTCAACTAACTCATGTTAAAACAACATCTGCGGGGGTCAAACAAGACATCTGTAAAGTCAAAATCTGCCAGTAGGCTATAAATCTATAATCTCTATTTTAGTGTTTAAAAACTGATTCTTTTTCTTTATAATATATCATCACTCTCGATCTTCACAACAACATTTTGCTTTTAATATGCTCACCCAAATTTAACTGATGGTGAACTCCTCTAAGTAATGAAGCCAGTAAAAGGTAACTCAGGAACTCAAGCCACTATTCTTCTTGTTGTTCAGTCACTAAGTTGTGTTCGACTTTTTGTGACCCCATGGACTGCAGCACGCCAGGTCCCTCTGTCCCCTGCTGTCTCCTAGAACTTGCTCAGATTCATAACCACTGAGTTGGTGATGCTATATAATCATCTCATCCTCTGTCTCCCCCTTCTCCTTTTGCATTCCATCTTTCCCAGCATCAGGTGGCTGTTTGCATCAGGTTTAAGTATTGGACTTTCACCTTCAGCATCAGTTTTCCAGTGAACATTCAGGGTTGATTTCTTTTAGGATCGACTGGTTTGATCTTCTTGGCAATCCGAGGGAGTCTCAAGAGTCTTCTCTGGCAACACAATTCAAAAGCAACCATTTTTCAGTGCTCAGCCTTCCTTACTATCCAATACTCACATCCATACATGACTACCAGAAAAACCATAGCTTTGACAATATGGACTTTTGGGGGAAAGTTATGTCTGTTCTTTTTAATACTCTATCTAGGTTTGTCAGTTTTCCTTCCACAGAGCAAGTGTCTTTTAATTTCATGGCTGCAGTCACCATCTGTAGAGAATTTGGAGCCCAAGAAAATAA